GATACCAAAACCATCGCACTATATAAGATGCAATAATAAAAGTAAGAAAATAATACAAGTATCTATCTAAACATACAAGTAAGAATATTTTTCCTTTCAGAAAGAAGATAAGAACAAGAGGCTCACCACGGTGGTGCCGGTGATGAGATCGGCGCGGGTGATCGACGACGGTGAAGACGGGGACGGGGCGTGACGGACCGCTAAACCTAGACAAATATTGAGGAAAATGGAGCTTGGCGGTCAAGCTTGGAGAGGAGAAACCTTAAGTAGTGTGGCTCGGGCATTCCATCGGACACCTTGTGTGCATAGGAGGTGAGCTAGAGCACCACCAAGCCCTCTCCCCCCCCCCGGCCAGAAAAAATAGAGCAGTGTGCTCTGCTCTTGCGCGAGGGGGTATATATAGGCACCACCATTGGTCCCGGTTGGTCGCATGAACCGGGACTAAAGGGTTGCCTTTGGTCCCGGTTCGTGCCACCAACCGGGACCAATGGTTGTGGGCCAGGAGCGAGGCCCATTGGTCCCGGTTCGACCCACCAACCAGGACCAAAAGGTCCAGACGAACCGGGACCAATGGCCCACGTGGCCCGGCCGGCCCCCGGGGCTCAAGAACCGGGTCCAATGCCCCCATTGGTCCCGGTTCTGGATTGAACCGGGACTAATGGACTGGACCGGCCTGGACCATTGCCCCCTTTTCTACTAGTGATGGTTGAGTATGTGAACTTACCTAAAGGCTCCGATACGCGACCCTTCCTGAAAAGATGATGAATTGTAGTTGCAAAGTTGATTGAGAACATAGTTTGTTGGTTTCCAATAGAGTTTATACTTTATACTTCGATGTTGGGATGAATTATTACTTGTTCATGAGAAGTCTATGATAAAAGTTCTATGATAAAAGCTTTATGTTAAAGTTTGTTGCTGTCATAATAAGTTAAATGATGCTACTATGCCCTTTTTTTCTTTTTATCGACACCTCTCTCTAAGCATGTGGACATGTTTTTCGATTTCGGTTTTCGCTTGAGGACAAGCGAGGTCTAAGCTTGGGGTACTTGATACGTCCATTTCGCATCATGTTTACCTATTGTTATTTATGTTGTTTTGTTGCATAATAATGCTTTTTGGAGTAATTCTAATGCCTCTCTCATAATATGCAAGGTATGCACAAAGGAGGAGAATTCTAACAGCTGGAAATTTGGACATGAAAAGGCTACGTCAGGCTACCTATTCTGCACAACTCCAAATGAGCTGAAACTTCATGAGGATTTTATATGGAATAAATAAGAATTTTTGGAGCCAATAAGTACCAGAGGGGGGCCACCAGGTGGGCTCAACCCACCTGGGCGCGCCAGGGAGCCCAGGCGCGTCCTGGTGGGTTGTGCTCACCCAGGCCCACCTCAAGTGCCCTTCTTCTGGTATATAAGTCATTTTGACCTAGAAAAAAAATAAGGAGAGGACTTTCGGGACGAAGCGCCACAGTCACGAGGTGAAACCTGGGCAGGAGCACTTTTACCCTCCGGCATAGCGATTCTGTCGGGGGAACTTCCCTCCCGGAGGGGGAAATCATGATCATCACCAACAACTCTCCCATCTTGGGGAGGGATATCTTCATCAACATCTTCAACAACACCAACTCCTCTCAAACCCTAGTTCATCTTTTGTGTTCAATCTTTGTACCGGAACTATAGATTGGTGCTTGTGGGTGACTAGTAGTGTTGATTACATCTTGTAGTTGATTATTATATGGTTTATTTGGTGGAAGATTATATGTTCAGATCTATTATGCTATTTAATACCCCCCTGATATTGAGCATGATTATCATTTGTGAGTAGTTAGTTTTGTTCTTGAGGTCACGAGAGAAATCATGTTGCAAGTAACCATGTGAACTTGATATGTGTTTGATATTTTGATGATATGTATATTGTGATTTCCTTAGTGATGTCATGTGAACGTAGACTACATGACACTTTACCATATTTGGGACTAAGGGAATGCATTGTGGAGTAGTTATTAGATGATGGGTTGCGAGAGCAACATAAGCTTAAACCCTAGTTTATGCGCTATTCCAAAAGGGACCGATTAGATCCAAAATTTTAATGATATGGTTAGAATTTATTCTTAATACTTTTCTCGTAGTTGCGGATGCTTGCGAGGGGGTTACTCAATAGTAGGAGGTTTTTTCAAGCAAGAACAACACCTAAGCACCGGTTCGCCCATATAGCAAATTACCAAAGTAGCGAACATGAATTAAGCCAACATGATGAAAGTGACTAGATGAAATTCCCGTGTACCCTCAAAAACACTTTGCTTATCATAAGAGACCGTTTTGGCCTGTCCTTTGCCTCAAAAGGATTGTGCTACCTTGCTGCACTTTTGTTACTACTACCGTTACTTGCCCGTTACAAATTATCTTGCTATCAAACTACTTTGCTACTTACAATTTTAGCACTTGCTGACATTACCTTGCTGAAAACCACTTGTCATTTCCTTCTGCTCCTCGTTGGGTTCGACACTCTTACTTATCGAAAAGGCTACAATTGACCCCATGTACTTGTGGGTCATCACCAATGTCCGCCCAAAACTCTTCGGCCATCTCCTCAACCGTCTTCCTCTGACGCACCGCAGAAGGCAACTCAGTAGAGTCATCGATAGTGGTTCCTTCATCCACTTTTGACGCATCTACTGCCTCTACCGTCTCTAGGCATGAAAATCTAGATCCGGTCCCTGCCGGCGTCGTCGCCGACCAGCCCGGAGCATAAGCCGCATCGCCACTCGCAAATCGCCAGTCACCAGATCATACGATTGATGGTTGGCTTGATTGATCGGAACATGCATCTACATGACAAAGAAATCCATCTCTGATACCACTTGATAGAGGCAAAGGTGTCCCGTCTTTTGATGAGATGGTGGCTATTGTTTTGGGTGGAGTAGAGTTCGACGATCCAACTACGAACGTGCGAGGACGTCGCGCCTTAGCAATCGCTAAACCAACTCCGAAAGGTTATTGACCACACCGGAGCACGATCAATCTGACCACAAGGGTTTATTTCCTGCAAGCAAATGAAGAACAAGCAAGAAACTGAGATTGCAATCAGGATATTGCGAATATAAGAGGAAAACTTTATTGATGAACGTGAGGTTTTGTTTAGATTAAAATTCACCATACCTGCAACTACTCATTTTTCTATAAACCCGAAATCTTGGGTTGTAGAGTTCCAAGTTTCCTATAAACGTGTAGCCAAGCGAGGTTTTGTTCGTTGAGCCATTTTTCTGGTTTGTAGAGTACAAATTCTCTATATGTCCTCTATCCAAACAACACCTTATAGTTCTTAGTGCATTCCTTGAATGGAAATTCCTACTATTTGCATTGACATCAATTGATGGGCATCTCCATAGCCCGTTGATTAGCCGCGTCGATGTGAAACTTTCTTCCTTTTTGTCTTCTCCATATTAATCTCTACGACCATATTTTATTCCATGGCTTGCACTCATGTATTGCGTAGGGGTTGAAAAAGCTGAAGCGTGTTAAAAGTATGGACCAATTGCTTGGCCGACACCAGGGTACTGCATGATTTATATTTTGTGTTAAGAAGATGGAGCATGACAAGGCTATATGATTTTGTACGGATTACATTTTTAGCATTTTTATTTCGAAAGATGTGATTGTTTGTTCGTATGCCTGAGTATTGATGTCTTTATGTTAAATTATAGACTATTGCTTTGAATCATTTGGATATTAATGTTCATACCATAAAAGAAAGATTACATGATGAATATTTTAGGTAGAATTCCACATAAAAATGTTGTTTTTATCATTTACATACTCAATAACGAGTAGGAATTAAGCTTGGGATGCTTGATACGTCTCCAACGTATCTATAATTTTTTTGTTTTCCTGAAAATCAATTTGAAACGAAGTCCAAACGTTACGAAACTTTTTGACGATTTTTTCTCTAGACAAGAGAGGCCCTAGAAGCTTCGGGAGGAGACCAAAAGGCAAATGAGGAGACAACAAGGCAATAGGGCGCGCCCACGGGGTAGGCGCGCCCTGATGCCTTGTGGGCCTCTCATGGCTCCATCTGACATAATTCCACTTCCATCAATTCTTTAAAATCATGAAACTAACAGAAAGCCACCCAAAATACTTTTCTCGCCGTCGCAAGTTTTTTTTTTCCGCGGTATCATTTGAAGGCATTTTCCGGTACTCTGCCGTAGGGAGATCTATCACGGAGGGCTTCTTCATCAACCTTGCTGCCCTTCCGATGATATGTGATAATTGTCAAAATCTAAAAGTGGCAAAAATGAAATGTCAAAATCTAGAGTGGCATAAAAAAATTGGCAAAATCTAGAGTGGAAAAACAAAATTTCCCCGCGTAGATCTTGATCGGCTCCATTGGCAAACAAAACAAGGAAAATCCATCCCCACTTTATTTATCGCTGGCCGGTCGTCGCCGCACCCGGACCTAGATGCGCTCCCTTATTATGATGGTGATGGACACAAGATGCGCTACCCTATGAAAATAAAAAATGGTAATATTAAAAAAAAGGAAAACAATTGGAAAGACTGACACCCCGCTTTTAAAATATAGACTGGCACGGTTTCAAACTGGGTGAGCCAGGCTGTCACTTATTCGATCTCAGCAAAAATAGAAGACTTGGTTAGAAGACTTGAGCAGTAGCAGGTCCATATTCATGTAGTACAAAGTACACAGACTTGCTGCCATTAAGGATTCGCTTGGTCGCTCTGGAGAGGAGGCAAGAGTCCGGCTGGGAACGAAGCAAGGGAGGAGAAGCCAGGAAGAAGCTAGAAGCAGGTTGGTTTGTTTGTTTTGCTTAATTTGCTTGTTATGTGAAATCTAGAAGCCCCCGCAAAAAAAAAAGTGAAATCTAGAAGATCAGAAAGGATTTTTCTCTATCTAGTCCATCATCCATCAGTTTAAGAGTTATTTGATGCGTATTCGTACTTCATCCCATCTCTAGATTGTACTCATCTTGGGCCAGCTGGATGGATCTAGTGGGCAGCGTCACCCAGATCGTCAATATTGCTCTCCAGATACAGGAGCTGGTGGAGACGGTTCGCCAGAACAAGGAGGACTGCAAGAAGATCGCAATGCGTGTGAAAAGGCTTCGGGCTATCGTGGAACGCCTTAACAGCACAGACGTCTCCAGCGAGAAAATTATGATCGACGCGCTCAATGACCTCGAAGAGACGTTCCTTCAGGCCCTCAAGCTTGTCAAGGCCTGCCAGACCAGAAACAAAGTTTGGCTCTTCCTCAGGGCCGGGAACGTCTCCAAACAGCTGCGTGAGGTCAAGGACGAGATGATGGACCATATGCACATTGCTAACTTCGGCAACTGCGCCCAGCAAACTGTCATTATCACTGAAGCATTTATTAGAGATCCGGCATCAAACCCAAAGGTACCAACGGTTTCCTCTTTTAGAAGAAGGAATTACTTTCATACTAAGCAAATGTTATTTTGCCGAGTGCCCTCCCTGTGTAATTTCAATAACTGTATTGCGACAAATGCGGCTTACAAAACCTTTTTCTTTTTCTTTCTCAAGTATCGTGACAACTTTTAGATTGTCATAGTAATTTGGGAATATCTACTGAGAGACGTGATTCGTGTCGAGCATAGGTTCGGCTGAACCATGGTTCCATACAACATTTTCGAATATCTACCCCTCAAGACGGATTTGATATGTTCATGAAGCATAGACATATTATATGGGTGTGTGGGATTCTACACACACACGTGTGCGCCCACACACGCGCACACACGCACACACACACACGCGCGCGCGCACGCACGCACACACACACACACACACACACACTAGTGATTGGTGATAAGCTGTTGGACATCCACCAACGGACCGGGAGAACTAATTCTCCGGATAGGAGATCTTATAACTCTTAACTCATAGTGTAAGGCGTATTTTGAGTGTCTAAATTTGATCTTTGACCATAAAATTCTCTTGCAACATATATTGCCAATGGTTGCAAAATTACAATCACAATAAAGTGCACTCAAATAGGAATCCATTGTTTTCTATTCAATTTGACATGAACCATGCACACACTTGGTCTCTACACAACTGTGCTGCACACAACCAACACTAACAAACACGCACACAAAGGATCACGTGCGCAAAAGGAAAAGTAATAGACCAAAAACATGCCTTGGTGGAGTAAAAGCAAACAAAAGGGAGTAAAAAAGGCAATGATGATCCATGCAGAGCAACTGCGACCTAACAAAGTTGATGCAAGTATGCATAACCGAACATGGACACCACCAAATCGGTGCACACACCTGACACATTGCCCAGCCGCCAAGAGTCGTATGTGGAGACACAACATCCATCGAATAGGGGGAGGAAATATAGGTACTATGATGAGTGATTCATGCTTAACTTGCTCGCATATGGAGCGCTGGTTATTGGCTAAATCTAGGAAACAATTGGTTTCAATGATCGTAGCTTTTAGTGTAGGAGTTGATCAAATTCAGTTTGCAGATAACCCATGTATTTCATTCATCACTTGACACCACTGTTTCCTTTGGTGGATATAGAAGCTTCTCAAAGTGCTGTCGATGCAAGGGGAGGAAGAAATCCATGTGGTTGGTAGCCGTTTGGTATGCCAGGGCACAGGTAATCGCGTCGCTGAGGTATTGCATAAACTAATTAGTTGGTCTTGACAAAAGCTACAGTTTTTTGGGATGAACCAAAGTTTCAGTTTTTGCATCATGACGGGATAATTTACTTATCTATTTCAGTGAGAGGTGGAGGACGAACATACCAGTTACCCAACGATGTTACTAGGTCAGATTGGGGAAATGCATTCTTACCGTCGAGAATTAATTGGATATATGTCATTGACAACTCCTCAAAACCTGATCATAAAAACCATTAGAAAAAACCAGTACTGTTCTGTTTGTTTAGTCATCCAGATACCATTAAGTCACATGGTAATAGAAAAACGCCATTTTCTTGTTTCTGTTATCCTCAATATAAAAGAGCACTCACATTACCATGGCAGATCTGAAATTCTCGCCGAAAAAGAAAGTATTCCAGCAGGAAGCTTGGAGGATACTGTATCACGTAAGATCATACCTCCTATAACTACGTTTTTAGAAAATTAATAACATTCTCTACATACATTTATGTGTTGTTTCACTGCAGACTTCAGAAATTTCAGTTCGTCTGTACTGAAGGCGCTTACAAAAAACTTTTCAAATCAACACGTGATTGGCAAAGGTGGTTCTGCTATCGTTTACAAGGTACTCTTGACCCATGTAGGCTTGGTTTGTCATGATATCCTTTTTCTTGCACATATTGTACGATATTCACATAACACAACTAATAGTTAATGTTAAGGCTAGCTAGGTCAAATCAAATTCAGACATATACCAGAGATAGCTAATTTAGCTAACTAAATGGTGGGTATGTACTATATGTGTGCCCACTTTTCAGGGTGTATTACCCAATGGAGAAGAGGTTGCCATCAAGAAATTCTGTGTGGATGCTTCACAAGATGAACATGTAGTGCGTTATGCTGAAGTTTTCTCGGTGTTACGTGAGCATGAGAATGTAGTTAAATTTCTGGGATATTGCCACGAAACAAAGATTCAAATGGTTCCAGTCGAAGGAAGATGTGTGGCTGCTGAAAGGCGTCATATGTTGGTGGTGGAAGAGTACATGCCCAACGGAAGCTTGTCCGACATTATCGATGGCATGCTTTTTTCCAATTAAATTTATACTCAAGTAGTATATATTGGTGACAGTTAATTTACCTTCGGACAAAAAATTTCTAACTTAATTTCGTTGTTTGGTTGCACTTTTGCAGGGTCGTCACGGCCGCTGGACTGGACCTCCGTATTTCGAATCATTCGAGGGATTGCACAAGGCGTCGCTCACATCCACACCAAAGGCGCTGTCCACTTGGATCTTAAACCAGCCAACATCCTCTTGGATTCCGTCATGAACCCGAAGATCTGTGACTTTGAGAGGTCTAAAATACTGAATCAAAAGGATGAAGATGTCGCTGAGAGAGTGACGCAAGAGCTGGCGGGAACACTGTAAGGGCTGCATTCATACGTTCTTTTTTCCAAAAGTAGGGTAGCACCTCTGGCCTCTACATGGGTTGATGCACGAACCCATAAAAGTACATTCATACCTAGCCAGTATTTCTTGTTTCCTTTTCTATTGCTATTTTCCTAAGATTTTTATTTCAAATTCAGGGGCTATTTACCTCCGGAATATATTGCAGATGGTATTTTTTCATTTAAACATGATGTGTTCAGCTTCGGCATTCTCCTCCTCCATACCATTAGCAAGTCGGGACTTCTGCAAGATTCAACTGATTGGGTGAGATTTTGTACATATTATTGACGCTGCCATGCGTTTTTGGCCGACTAGCTGATAACTAACTAAACTGGTAGTTTGTGATGCAATTTCTCTCAGATTAGGCATGCACTTGAAGGACAAGTCGATGTGGAGAGCTTAATAGGTACTTCATCACGTGACAAGTCCAAGCTAAAGGAGATAAAAAGTTGCATGGACATCGGACTGCAGTGCGCCGCGAAGGAGCGGACAGACAGACCCACCATGTGGGAGGTTATTGACATGCTAGACGGCAAGGAACAACCCCGGAAGACCCCAATGAGGAATAAGGCTTCTTCGTTCAAGAAGAAAGGCAGGGCATGATCACTTAGATATGTAACGTCTTTGCGTTGGCACATTATTTGTCTTAGGCTCGCAAAAAATAAGGGAATTATTGTTTCAGGATGGTACACCGATTAAACACATCAACGGTTGTGATTACCCCATACGATTTTTGACAGTAGGTTGTCTGCATTAAGATCTTTGATACGGATGCTTGCCATTCAAAGCAAGACGTAAAAATGATAGAAAAAAGGGGCAAGTTCGCTCGAGGAATTGAACTCATCAATTCAACCTCCAGACTACACAATCGACCACTCCACCACGCTGCCACTCGATGTTTAAAATAGCACAAAGTATATAAGAACACACTAGGCCGACCTCTCGAATAATAAAGCTTGTAAAAACATGGGCGGCCAGCTAGAAAGTACAAGTTTTTTATGGTTAGATAAAGGAAAATAGCCTTTATGAGTTCAACTTTCCATAAGTATATAAATTATTAATTGTAGGCTTGCTGCCATTTGTGGAGATATTTTCTAAAATGCCAAAACGCCTCATTCACTTGAGGTATGTGTGGAAACACATTTGTTGTTTCTAGGCGTTCCATCAAAATGCCTAAAAAAATATTATGGTTACTAAAAAGAACACCTGAAAATACTTTTTATGCATAGACAACAACTTGATCCAGTTGGACGTTTTTCTCTAACAAGATAGGGCCATCTTAGATTTTCACACAGGGACCTCAATTTTGATGGACCTGCCCTGGAACACACGAACACCCCAGCTCCAAGGAGGAAAAACGTTCATCGATTTGAAAAAAATTCATGAATTTGACCAAAAGTTCACAAAATACAAAAACAAGTTCATCGATTTGAAAAAAAACACAAATTTTATACTTTATTCATAGGAGGCCGCCAGACTGGGCCGATACACTGTCGTGCGCGGAAACGGGGAAAAATAAAATAATAATTTTAAGTACCTCTTTAAATTATGATTCTAAATATATTCTCTTCAAACATGACATGGATGCTTACCATGGGCATGCTGTTGGAAATATGCCCTAGAGGCAATAGTAAATTAGTTATTATTATATTTCCTTATTCATGATAATCGTTTATTATCCATGCTATAATTGTATTGATAGGAAACTCAGATACATGTGTGGGTACATAGACAACACCATGTCCCTAGTAAGCCTCTAGTTGACTAGCTCGTTGATCAATAGATGGTTACAGTTTCCTGACCATGGACATTGGATGTCATTGATAACGGGATCACATCATTAGGAGAATGATGTGATGGACAAGACCCAATCCTAAGCCTAGCATAGAGATCGTGTAGTTCGTATGCTAAAACTTTTCTAATGTCAAGTATCTTTTCCTTAGACCATGAGATTGTGCAACTCCCGGATACCGTAGGAATGCTTTGGATGTACCAAACGTCACAACGTAACTGGGTGGCTATAAAGGTGCACTACAGGTATCTCGGAAAGTGTCTGTTGGGTTGGCACGAATCGAGACTGGGATTTGTCACTCCGTGTAAACGGAGAGGTATCTCTGGGCCCACTCGGTAGGACATCATCATAATGTGCACAATGTGACCAAGGGGTTGATCACGGGATGATGTGTTACGGAACGAGTAAAGAGACTTGCCGGTAACGAGATTGAACAAGGTATCGGTATACCGACGATCGAATCTCGGGCAAGTACAATACCGCTAGACAAAGGGAATTGTATACGGGATCGATTGAGTCCTTGACATCGTGGTTCATCCGATGAGATCATCGTGGAACATGTGGGAGCCAACATGGGTATCCAGATCCCGCTGTTGGTTATTGACCGGAGAACGTCTCGGTCATGTCTGCATGGTTCCCGAACCCGTAGGGTCTACACACTTAAGGTTCGGTGACGCTAGGGTTGTATGAATATGAGTATGCAGCATACTGAATGTTGTTCGGAGTCCCGGATGAGATCCCGGACGTCACGAGGAGTTTCGGAATGGTCCGGAGGTAAAGAATTATATATAGGAAGTGGTATTTCGGTCATCGGGAAAGTTTCGGGGTCACCCGGTATTGTACCGGGACCACCGGAAGGGTCCCGGGGGTCCACCGGGTGGGGCCACCCATCCCGAGGGGCCCCATGGGCTGAAGTGGGAGGGGAACCAGCCCATAGTGGGCTGGTGCGTCCCCCTAGGCCCACCCCCTGCACCTAGGGTTGAAACCCTAGGGTGGGAGGGGGGGGGGCGCACCACATGCCTTGGGGGGCACTCCACCCCCCTGGCCGCCGCCCCCTTGGGAGATTGGATCTCCTAGGGACGGCGCCCCCCTGGGGGCCTATATAAAGGAGGGCAAGGGGAGGGCAGCCACACCCTATGCATTGGCGCCTCCCTCCCCCTGCTACACCTCGTCCTCCTCCCGCAGCAGCTTGGCGAAGCCCTGCCGGAGTTCTGCTGCATCCACCACCACGCCGTCGTGCTGCTGGATCATCATCAACCTCTCCTTCCCCCTTGCTGGATCAAGAAGGAGGAGACATCTCCCGTCCCGTACGTGTGTTGAACGCGGAGGTGCTGTCCGTTCAGCACTTGGTCATCGGTGATCTGAATCACGGCGAGTACGACTCCATCATCACCATCCCCTTGAACGCTTCCGCTCGCGATCTACAAAGTGGTATGTAGATGCAATCTCTCTCCCATGACTCGTTGCTTAGATGAACTCATAGATGGATCTTGGTGAAACCGTAGGAAAAAATTTAATTTTCTGCTACGTTACCCAACAGTGGCATCATGAGCCAGGTTTATGCGTAGTTCTCTATTGCACGAGTAGAACACAATTTTGTTGTGGGCGTAGATCTTGTCCACTTGCTTGCCGCTACTAGTCTTATCTTGCTTCAGCGGTATTGTGGGATGAAGCGGCCCGGACCAACCTTACACGTACGCTTACGTGAGACCGGTTCCACCGACTGACATGCACTAGTTGCATAAGGTGGCTGGCGGGTGTCTGTCTCTCCCACTTTAGTTGGAGCGGATTCGATGAAAAGGGTCCTTATGAAGGGTAAATAGAAGTTGACAAAATCACGTTGTGGTTATTCGTAGGTAAGAAAACGTTCTTGCTAGAACCCAATTGCAGCCAAGTAAAAGATGCAACAACAATTAAAGGACGTCTAACTTGGTTTTGCAGCAATTGTCATGTGATGTGATATGGCCAGAAGTTGTGATGAATGATGAATGATATATTGTGATGTATGAGATCATGTTCTTGTAATAGGAATCACGACTTGCATGTCGATGAGTATGACAACCGGCAGGTGTCATAGGAGTTGTCTTCATTTTTTGTATGACCTGCGTGTCATTGAAGAACGCCATGTAAATTACTTTACTTTATTGCTAAACGCGTTAGCCATAGAAGTAGAATTAGTCGTTGGCGTGACAACTTCATGAAGACACGATGATGGAGATCATGATGATGGAGATCATGGTGTCATGCCGGTGACAAGATGATCATGGAGCCCCGAAGATGGAGATCAATGGAGCTATATGATATTGGCCATATCATGTCACAACTATATAATTGCATGTGATGTTTGTTATGTTTATGCATCTTGTTTACTTAGAACGACGGTAGTAAATAAGATGATCCCTTACAACAATTTCAAGAAGTGTTCTCCCCTAACTGTGCACCGTTGCTAAAGTTCGTCGCTTCTAAGCACCACGTGATGATCGGGTGTGATGGATTCTTACGTTCACATACAACGGGTGTAAGACAGATTTACACACACAAAACACTTAGGGTTAACTTGACGAGCCTAGCATGTACAGACATGGCCTCGGAACACAGAGACCAAAAGGTCGAGCATGAGTCATATAGTAGATACGATCAACATGAAGATGTTCACCGATGATGACTAGTCCGTCTCACGTGATGATCGGACACGACCTAGTTGACTCGGATCATGTAATCACTTAGATGACTAGAGGGATGTCTATCTGAGTGGGAGTTCATTAGATGAACTTAATTATCCTGAACATAGTCAAAAGATCTTTGCAAATTATGTCGTATGCTCGCGCTTTAGTTCCACTGTTTAGATATGTTCCTAGAGAAAATATAGTTGAAAGTTGACAGTAGCATTTATGCGGACAGTAGAAAGCTTATGTCCTTAATGCACCGCTCAGTGTGCTGAACCCCAAACGTCGTTTGTAGATGTTGCGAACATCGGACATACACATTTTGATAACTACGTGATAGTTCAGTTAAACGGTTTAGAGTTGAGGCACCAAAGACGTTTTCGAAATGTCGCGGAACATATGAGATGTTTCGAGGGCTGAAATTGGGATTTCAGGCTCGTGCCCACGTCAAGAGGTATGAGACCTCCAACGATTTTCTTAGCCTGCAAACTAAGGGAGAAAAGCTCAATCGTTGAGCTTGTGCTCAGATTGTCTGAGTGCAACAATCACTTGAATCGAGTGGGAGTTGATCTTCCAGATGAGATAGTGATGTTTCTCCAAAGTCATTGCCACCAAGCTGCTAGAGCTTCGTGATGAACTATAACATATCAGGGATAGATATGATGATCCTTGAGGTATTCACGATGTTTGACACTGCGAAAGTAGAAATCAAGAAGGAGCATCAATTGTTGATGGTTGGTGAAACCACTAGTTTCAAGAAGGGCAAGGGAAGAAGGGATACTTCATGAAACATCAAATCAGCTGCTGCTCCAGTGAAAAAACCCAAGGTTGAACCTAAACCTGAGACTAAGTGTTTCTGTAATAAGGGGAACAGCCACTGGAGCAGGATTACCCTAGATACTTGGTAGATAAGAAGGCTGGCAAGGTCGATAGAAGTATATTGGATATACATTATGTTGATGTGTACTTTACTAGTACTCCTAGTAGCACCAGGGTATTAGATACCGGTTCGGTTGCTAAGTGTTAGTAACTCGAAATAAAAGCTACAGAATAAACGGAGACTAGCTAAAGGTGAGCTGACGATATGTGTTGGAAGTTTTTCCAAGCTTGATGTGATCAAGCATCGCACGCTCCCTCTACCAACG